TGAGGTGTCATTTCATAAATAGCAATAAGGTATCATTTGATTAATGGTTATAAGGTGTCATTGCATAAATGACTGTAAGATGTCACTTCAAAATTGATACTATTTTTTATAATTAATAGCACAAAAAATACTGTAGAAAAGATCGGTGAATATTTTACATACGAATATTTTTCGAAATAAGACGTTCTACATAGAAAATATTGCACAATAGCAGGTAATACTAAACGACATTGATCATAAATATTTGCTGTTGAATTTTTCATCAAAACTAATTGACCTTACTTTTCAACGTTACTAACTGTAAAACTGATAACCCTTGTAGACCAAATTAGATTAACTTCCAATAACCCTTGTTGTATCACGTATAAGATGATCTCTTCGATATAGTCAGGTATTTTATTACGAATTCTTCATTTATCTGAAATATAACTATTCTCACAACAAGTAGAGTATTCCCGGAATACAGCGATAGAAGTACGTTGGAGTCTGTGCAACCTATTGAAAAAGTGTTCAGCGCAATCCTCGCGGGATTAAAATGTGAAACATAATGAAGCTATTTCACATGGATATAAAGCGGCTTCTTATTTCCGTAGGGTCAAGGAAGAATAATTCTCTACTGTCTATGATGACGTCTAATCGGAGCTGAAATACCACAACCGTGATCAAAAAATCCAAATTTAATAGTCCGAAAAATCATAATGTAGGATATCGATATGTCTATTACGATCTGCAGGGAAGGGTTCAATTTTCTTGCCCTAAACCTTTAACACTCATTTTCAATCGTATTTCACAAAAGAAAAAATCCATAGAAGATCACTTCAAAATAAATTGAATAACCTGTAATTATTCACTTTAATCTAAAACGATAAAATATGCAAGGATGATTACTCAAACTATTGCAATTTTAATCGAATCTTCATAAGAAACAGAACATTTAGAAAATGGTTCTAAAGAAGTATGGGTCACTTTTTCATAGGAGTCGAGTAGTTTTTCACATCTTTTATCAAAAGATGTGCCATAAAATAAAATGCTTCAGTTAATTTATGTACCTATTTTTGCCCGACAGTAACAATTTTAGAAAGTTGTCATCATATTTACAAACGACTATTGCGGCTCGAACAAAATAAAGACAAAGATGCAATAATTAACTCATACAAAGCGTTTCGGAGAAAGTTTCACAGCGCATATTTTGATAAAAATATTTCAGTTTCGAAATGAAGAACATAATTGAATAGATATCTGATAGAGAGAGTTTTTTGACTGCCACTATCCTAGATTATAGAAAAAAGATCCATATGTATTGATGTGTTAAAGTGAGAGCTGTTGACCCTTAATGACTTACTTCCGATAGATTGTCTTCAAAAGAAAACAAAAACTTGGTGTTAGATTGGACAACGTTTGTCTCATACAAAATAGACAAAGATAAAAATACACTTACGGATTACAGCTCCTTTTTTTTTTGATTAAGAAAATTGTGCATTCTATTCGACTCTTTACAATCTTATCTTAACTGTAAAACTCGTAATATGAGGAACTAGCACAATATTTTTCTTAATCAATTTAGTGAACTTCATAATCATCTAATTCTTTGTCTATGTCATGATGGATCGTGTCAACAATCTAGTCTAATGGAAGAATAACATACATTGTTAACAGAGTCTCGAGATATTATCTGCATCATTGACAGTAGAAAATCGCCTAACTCGCAACAAAACAAAAACATCGTGATGCTATTCTGCACATAAATATTCATTCCTTATGCGTCTGCTATATCATCGTCTTTATTAAGCATTTGTGTCCTTTATCTCGCCGAGTTGTATGTTCTCCGTCTCTTACACATCAACACAACAAATTTTCTTGCGTTTGTTTATCTTGACCTGACCATGTTTCTCAATGACCTCATTTCAACAAGCGTTTTGTTATCACCAGAAGTGTTTCAATAATTAGGTTAGTCTGCGTGTGCTATTCTTTACTTCCTATTATTAGATAATTATATCTGCTTCATTCTATGCATATGTTTTCCAAAAAGCGAGAAAGATGTTTAGCACTCCCATAAACACCACATTATTCTATTACGATTGGTGTAAATGAACTCTCGATCTACTAGAAGATTATCATTAGGGATAGTATGACAATGAAATACACAAGTTTACATATAATTATTATACACATAGCTAGATTTGTAAGAATATTTTGAAAACATCATTCACAAGCCGTTGGAACTTTCAATGATGCTGCTCGGCACACAACATTTGCTCTTTCACTATATCGATTAACTCTTTTATCTTTCTTCATCTGTCAGCTGCGTTATCTTCTCACATTCTATAAGTCACTGTTCTGCTCCCATTGTTTTTTTTTACAGAAAGAATTAATTTTCATTCTTTGTTAAACCTCTTATCGAAATAGTCAATCAGCCAATTTTTACAAAGTCAATCCGTGTACAATTTCGTATCTTCAAAAAATCTCAATCAAGTCTAAAATGTTCTTAGATCCAACTTTTTTAAAGATTTCATCTAACTGGCAGGTAAGGTGTAGGCAATTCAAACTTTGAGTAACATTTTTTTTTGCCTTTTTTTTCACATCATTTGATAGAATTTTAGCTGCTGATCACGAATATCTACTTTTTAGTCTTAGCAAAAACTTCTTTCTGGTCGAAAAAGACGAAATACTCGAGAAGTATCGTTTTTCGAGAAAAATCCATTCTTTCGTGAAATGTGCAAAATTTTCGACTTTATCCCATATTTTTTATTTTGAAACTATTTCTTTCTGATTCAGCATGACAAACTAAGTCTAGAAATGTGTTCGAATCGACTCTAGATCTAAAACTGTATTGGTGATGGTGCATCGAATCTCGTCGAGTGCACCACGTACAGGTAAATTTTGTAAACCTGTCTACTTTTTCTACGTAAATGATAGAGGCAAATATTTTATTTCATTCGACTGATCACATCACCACTTACAAAGTTACAGAGCACTTTTTTTTGTTTTTTTCCTATGTTGAGAAATATCGTTTTTACTAAATTTTGACCAAAATAGTTAGGTTTCTGCCGGTAATTCTCAATTTTCTTCATCCAAAATTAGATCTTATGTAATAAAAATACTATATTCGGAATCAGCGTAAAAAACTGAGTCGACGAATGTGTGTTTCCCTACTTTTCGTCAACTTCGATTTTTTGGCAAAATTTTTAGCCATCATAACAGGAGACAATACGAAAATGAAATAAAATATTTGCCTCTATCATTTACGTAGAAAAAGTAGATAGATTTACAAAATCGATCTATTCGTGGTGCACTCGACGAGATTCAATGCGTCATCATCAATACAGTTTTGGATCTGAAGTCGATTCGAAAACATTTCTAGATTCAATTTGTCATGCTGAATCAGAAAAAAATAGTTTCAAAATCAAAAATATGGGACAAAGTCAAAAATTTTGTACATTTCGCGAAAGGATGCATTTTTCTCGAAAAACGATACTTCTCGAATATTTCGTTTTTTTCGACTGGAAAGGAATTTTTGCTAAGACTAAAAAATAGATATTCGTGATCAGCAGCTAAAATTCTATCAAACGATGTGAAAAAAAGGCAAAAAAAAAATTTTACTCGAAATTTGCTTTGCCGACACCTTATAAACGATAAGGTTCTTAATCAATTTTTATTTCATTTATTTAGTTATGGAGTTGTTTTCATTAACAAGGAATACAACAGTAACAGACATAAAATGGCAAGCATATCCAATTGGCTTTTTCCTATTACTGTTATGTCTGTTCACTATAATAGGTAATCTATTAATTCTATATGTTATAATTTGCCAACGTACATTACATAAATCTAAATATTACTATATTGCATCATTGGCATTTGCTGATCTCTTAGTCGGATTAATTGGAATGCCGTTCTCATTTATATTTGAAATGACAGATGATGAGTACTGGTTATTCGCACGACATCTGAGTTCTTTATGCGATTTTTTTTATTCCATGGATGCATTCGGAACAACAGCATCAATATTTGGACTGTCTGCTATTGGAATAGATCGATACGTAGCTATTACAAGGCCAATGGAATATTCAAATTCATTTATATCAAAAAGATGGTATTATGTGTTGTCATTTATATGGATATGTTCAGCTGTTACATCAGTTCCACCAGTAATTTTTATTGGAAGAGAACAAGTATCTACTCGTACGTAAAAGAGAATTTTTTTTTGTGCTTAATATCGAGATTATTGTGCATTTATCTCATTAGTCTTTGCATTATCTAAGTCTCCATATGCATCAATGAAACACAAACAAATCTTGGACAATTTGTACGAATAAGCTTTAATTCTACAAGGAGTCTGAAAATTTTTCTCGAATATGAATGTATATAATTGGTAAAGATTAAATTTCTTGCCTAGAACTGTATAATTGCTAAATAATTGAGATGGATAATTTATATTTCTCATCTATATTATAATGTTGAGTGTCCGTCTAGTCCCTCTAAGTGAACAAGTACCTATCGCAGTAATGAATCATCATAGAGACTTGATATTTATCTCTTAGAAAGGCCAAAGTGTCTACTACAAGACTGTGTAAAAATATTCGATTTCAAAACGTTTCTGAAAGACTCAGGAGTCTTAAGAACAAGTTGAACTGAAAAAGTACATCTCAATTCGTTGAATTTACAATAAAATTCTATCCACTCAGAAAGTTGGTCTTATTCTTTGACATTCTATCAGATTTTTTTAGTACTACGGTCGAGTATCGTAACCATACAAAAATAAAGTTTTCAAATGATTGGTTGAGTTCGAAATCAAGATTTTTCTTGATATTCTCTGTTTGTAAAACTTTTTCGTGCTAAATAAATGTCTTCGAAAAAACAAGATTTCTTCCAACATCCAAGTTAATAGAAATCATCTTATTTATATACAATTAATATTTATTAAGTCTCCTAACAAAACACATTACATCAAACAGAATACAGTTTCTTTGTTAGATATTATGAGAAAAACTATATGGGAGGGTGTAGACAGAAAATCAAGGTGTTAATAAACATGTTTTTTTTTCTAAAGTTTGTAGTTTCGTTACTAAAATAATTTGATGTGATTAAAAAGTCCACTTTACATTTATCAGACCTACACATACCGTATCCTTAATTTGAGTGAAGTCGAAAGAAATTTTTTTAGTACAACTTATTCGTAAGATTCTTTAGTTTTTGGTAAACATTTGGAATCAAATATTTTTACACAATCTTGTAGTAGACATTTTTGCTTCTTCTAACAAAGATCAAATCTGTATAATGATTTGTTACTACGATATATTGAAAAGAAAATGTATGCAGAATTTTCGTCTCAACTGTTACAAGAGGTTGATGCTATGGTGTTTATATTTTTATCGAGATCATATCACTAAAGTTTATTGTTATATCAGGTTTAGAACGATCAAATAAATCAAACGCGACAATAATTAAAACGTTGTTACCATTAGACGAATGTAACGTTCCAACCGATCCTTATTATATATTATTCATATGCATTGCATCATTTTATCTACCTTTAATCATTATGATTTACGTCTATATTCAAATGTATTTGGCAGCTAAAAAACAAACTCGAGCACTTCGTTCGGGCTACAAGTATCACTCTTCTATGCAATCTACAACGTCATCTATTACGAAAGTTCCTTTGAGACAAATGTTCTCTGATAGAAGATTCGAAATTGAAGAAAGAGCGGAAATCTCGGATGACAATGCACATGAAAAATCAGAGATGTTATTACAAAAGCGTAGACCATCATATGAATTATTAACTCTTCGCATTCATCATGGTACATATAAAAACCCAAATATAGAAGAGTTAAATCAGAATAATGAACATAACACAAAATCTTTGAATAAATTTTCAAGAAAATATGAACAAAAAAAAAAATTTTGGCAACAAATTTCGAAAAATCAAAAAGCAGGAAAATTCGTCGGTATTATTATGGGTGTATTTATTGTTTGTTGGTTACCATTTCATGTTTATTTTCTATTGAGTGGTGTTTTTGGTTTGCGTTTAAAAGATGAACAAAATCATGAATTATTATTCTACATATTTTCATGGTTAGGATATACAAATTCTGCATTGGATGTTCTTATTTATTCCTTGGCTTCCAACGAACTAAGAACTTTATTCATGAAATTATTTTGTTAGAGATGTTATTCGACATAAATAAAATAAATTGTCATTCTATGTAGATATTATGTCAATAGAAGATTTCTAATAATAAATACACGATATATTTTAATGATCTCTTTTGATTATTCGATTTAAACGATGTTTATTCAAAATTTCGATAATTTGTATAAAAAAACAATGTTACTTATTTTACTTTCAATCAGACTAAGTCCAAATGTTGGTAAATAACCTGATATATCAAGTATTTTCTGAATATCATATCTTCATTCATATGAATAGAAATAAGAAAGTATCATAACTAACAATCGGCGATCAATAGAGTAGAAATCCTCTCGAGTCAATCGATAAAAGTCACCTATAACTTTGATCATTTTCGATTCAACTTTTTTTCTTTGTTGTTAAGTCTGAGCAGGTAAATATTTTAGAAACTATCAATCCTGGATGTGAGTGTGGATGTTGACCTGATCCACACCCACACAGCATATCCCATCTCGATCGAAGATGCTTACGCCCTGCTCTTCTACAAGATCAAATTACTTTTCTCTATAAGAATTCCATCGGTTTTTTTCTCCATCGAAATATGATCAAATCGCAAGTGTTTCGATTTCTGACTCAAACTTTTGAAATCAGCTATTGATTTGTTTTTCACTATAGTTGATGACTACTTAAAGATTGAATACCGCAGACTTTAACTGTATCTATTATTGGATTTTTCATGAGAAAAAAAATTTATAGTCTCCTCTATTATGGAGATAAAAATCAGCCCGATCGATTAAACCAGAATGGAAATAATGAATTTTCTTATCATAAAGATATTTTTAGGGTGTCGATGTCGAAAAGCTAGACACCCCACAACGTAACCCTATAGTCACATCCTCCACAAGTGAAAATTCTTTTGGAAAAACTGAAGTGAATAAATGTGAGGCAAGATCCCAGGTATGAAATAATAGTATTAAAATATCATCTTGAATAGTGGCAGATTTCTACTCTTATCGTGCGGAGTCCTTTGTAGAATATTTCTGAAGAACATATAATAATATGTTATTTCTTTTGTATCTTCTATTACAGCGCCAATTTTAAGTGAATGATGATTATGGCACATCATTCTCATATTGTGTTAACCATCTCATATAATATTTTATTCGTATTAAATGATAAGTAGATGCTATTCCTTCAATATTGATCATATCGAATCACTAGGGAACAAATTGATTTCTTGACTTTTTCGATTCCTTTGATTTCTAATGATTTCTTTATCACTAGAAATCAGTTTTTATCTATTGACCATGAATCAATAGGAATCATTGGACATGTTTAGAAATGAAAGAAAATCATTAGAAATCGGAGCTTTACTTTTAATCATTTTTTTCTTATTATGATAACATTAATTTTAAAAAAATGATTCATAGCTTGATCTATCATTTGAATTTCATTTGTAGATCTGATTCAACACTCCAAAAAGAAAACGGACGAATCATAATTCAAATTGAAACACAACTTCATATTTTTATTTTTATTTTTATTTTTTTATTTTAGTTCAAACAAAAAAAAACACAATATGAAATAAGTTTTAATAAATATCGTTAGAAGTTTATGATTAATTTTTATTATTTATGCCACTGTTCGTACAACATTTGTTGCTCGACCATTTATTCTTCTTATCAAAGAAGTTTTCAAAGGTTCTGTAATTTCTAAAATAGCAATCAAGACAAATACCAATGATGCATTGATAAATATAAAAACAATACGAAAATGATATTTTGGTGCACTTTTAAAGAATGACACAATAATAAGAGTTTGATAAGGTAAACCAAGTGCTATTAAAATGGATACAAGTGAAATTATACGTCGAATCATTTTTAGTTCTCGTTGAGCATGAAATAATCTATTAACTGGAGTTACATGTTTACTCATCTCGCGTACATATCGAACCATTTTTAAATAGATTAATACTATACTTATCATAGGAAATAGATAGATATAAAATGCATTGAATATTGTTACAAACGAAAATCCAGGAGGTATTTGACATAATTGATCATCAACAAGATATTTTATTTGACCAGTAAACACTAATGGAAAAGGATAAATAATACAACATATCCATGTGAAGCTTATGAGAAAAACTTGAAATTTAACTGATTGATAGAATAATCCCAATGGATTAACAATCAAGATATATCGATAGATTGCTTGTAATAAATAAGAATAATTTTGTAGTCCAATTGACATATAACCTATGTAAGCCGTTATAAGACAAAATGAATCGTAGAAGTAAATTTGTTTAAGATCATTGTGAAATGTAAATAAAGTTACAGCAAGTAAATAAATTCCAAATATAAATTCAGCTAAACAAGAATTCACAACAAGTATCATTCCAACTTTACGATATACTTTATCAAAAATAATTATAAATAAAAATATTAGAGCAAGTATAACAGCAGAGACACAACATATCATATTTAAAATATCAATAGGAATAAACCATGATTGAAAATCTATCGTAGTTGAGTTATTTTGGAGCGTCATTGTTCCTATTAGAGAAAAAAAAAGAAAAAATTCTAGTTTTGTTTGGAAGAACTTAGAATTCGACTAGAACTATACTGATATATATATATATCCATACTATTCAAAAACTAGACAGCATAAACATGAAAAAATTTACTTGTACAAGAACTTTATCAACGTGTTTCTAAGTAAAACTGTCGATTTATCATTTAATTATCGATGTAATTTATTGTTTATAATAAACTTTTCTAATAGCTATGAGAGATAAAATCATCTTATTGAATAGACTGGCGATTAACTTTTTATGCTATTTTTATTTTAATTATCTAGATAGGCGAAAAACAACGAAAGTCACAAAAGTTTGTCTTTTTGGGACGTTATTTCTAAGCAAACGGAGCGTCTTCGAAAAGATTTAAAAAAATGGATCGTAAAACTTTCACCAAGCGTTGAAATAATTATTGTCTGAATTTCCATTTTCAAGATCAACGAGAGAGAACGTTACAACTTGTGATGCGTATGTCAAGAAAGTAAAAAAAAAAAAACAAGAAAATTAACAAAATCGTGAAGTACTGTATAAGTGTTGTACTTCATAACTTATTAAAAATGCCAAGAAAGATAGTTAACTATTGTAGGTTAGAAAATAGAACAAGAGACAAAAGCGGAACACTCGGAAGATGTCTAATTGCATCGTCCAATTATCTGTAAATAAAAACTTGTATTCAGTATTCTGTCATTAAAAAAAATGACGACTTTACATACTATAATATTTAAGAGAAGTTTTATAATAAAGATGACACAAAAGCAAACTATGTCCTTAACTGATGATCGCTGATCTGATTAGTTTTTACATATGTTATAAGAAGCAAGTATTTGATGAATCGCTATGAAAGTCGTTTAAAAAAGTATTGTTGCATTCTCTAGATATAGAAATTTTTCTGACAGAACTATCGCTAAGAAAATACATTTCTTGTAAATATCTTGCACTTCTTGTGAGACCGATATATCATGAGGAACATGTTCATTTGACCTGAAGCCTTTATTTTGAATAAGTTTTCGGCTCAGCTATTTCTCATTAAAAATAAATTTACATGAATGAATTGTTGATGAGTTTACTTATACTGTCACATATATGAAAAAATTACTATTCTTCAGTATTTTGTTCATATACATATCTCATTTGTAGATTACGTTAAAAAGCTGAAGCGTCAGTCAGATAGAAATCTTATTGAATACTTATTTTAAAAAAAATTTCAGCTCTCTAGATACAAAATTAGCTTATATGAAGACAAGAGATAATCCCTAATCGAATGCTTTTTATATATGAGCGTAGAGTATTCGTATCCGTCTTTGCAATGACATATTATTGAATAATATCGTCTCTGGTAATAATAGAAATATAAACATGAGAATGTGAGAATAAACTTTTTGCAATTGATCAATGTGCTTTTTTTTTGTAATAAAGTGTCGAACAATTCTATATGAAAAATAGCATAATAGAAACCAATAATTATTTATCTTATTCGTTTATTCAGTACTCATCACGATCCACTGATTACATCTTTAACCAAGCATGCAGTCAGTCATCGGATTGAAATGGATAAAATATATGAAAATATCGCGTACAAAGCGAAATACAGGAAATAAAAATTGTATTTTGAACCATTGATGTATTATTTAATAATCGCGCTTTACTTCAAAAAGACGAAACTAAATTCGCTGATGTATAGTCCATTGAAAGTATACAGGGAAATGAAGATATTATCTAATAGTATGTCACTTGAAAGGTTGATACAAATACTCAAGGTTTATATATAGTGGAACAATCTGCAAGTATTAACAGCAGACCCCATGTATAAATCACGATCAACTTCGTTTAATCGAGGTTCTTACACCTTGCTCACTTTAAGATATGTTGTTGAGGTAAGAATTTTATGAATTTTTGCGCAAGCCATTTAAAAAGTATTGAACCTTCGATTTTTAATGATGTTTTTTTTCAAAAGCCCTAAACTTGTAGATTCTTGAAAAAGAGGAGTTTGACGCTCGAGCTGAAATTTTGCGTGTATGCATACATATCAATGATTTCTGCTCACAACAAAATTTTCAGTTAAAACGTTTTTGAATCTTTGGTATTCTATAGATTTCAAATATATAGGCAAAATGCACGATTGTCAGCAAATTTCGAGCTTCATGTAAGATCCTTAATTGCTTTCTTTCCTATTTAAGCTGTTGATATTTTTATTAAAACAAAGCAATCGATCATTGGTTTTCGACTATATTCTTGCAGATGCGTTACGTCGAGATTTCAAAATTTGAATGCTGATCTTATAAACACAAATGTATTTCGTTTAATCAGAGAAAAATCAATGTCAACACGTAACTTAACACCAATGAATAAAATCAATCACAAAAAAAAACAGTTTTAATTGTATTAGAAAATTTCAAAAATTTTTACTTAGTCAAACTTAAATACACTACTTTTATTTATTGATTATGGTATGATAGAATTTAACAAATTGATAAATATAAAAGATGTGAATGAAAAAAAGATTCATATTCACACATATCCCTCAGCCACAACCTTACGTATCATTAGTCGAAGAAAGAAGATCTTTTGCATGTGTATTAATATTTCTTTTTTATCATCCGATTCTAATAATCTCAGAATATACTTAAGAGAAAATGTGAAGTTCAGTCAGCTTTCTACAGAGCTTAGAACGTTATCGAAATGTGTTTATTGTAATTTTCTTTTTTTTTTCTTTGCAGATCATATTGATCTGAAATAGAGTCTTGCGTTAACACGACGATTGAACGAAATCAACATTGTCGCTAACACTTGCTTCTCTTCAAGAAGAATTAGAAGTTCTTCATTGCAACAGTTCCATTTTAGATTTAAAAGTTGATGATGCACTTGCGAAGAAATTCGACGATTGCGTAGTAGTAAAAAAACAAAGATGAAACAGGAAATTTATTCAATTAGGGCATGTACAGCAAGCGTAACATATCCAACAGCACATTTCGGCAATAAAATTAATTTTTTTTTAAATCTTGTGGGACAATGAAGAACGAATTTCACGTAACGTCAAACAGCGCAAATAACTGGTATGAGATATCGGTGTGTGTTGCTATCTTTTCTATCCTACACTTTTACCTTTGTAGACACCCTCACTCGCCCATTGGTGGTTTCGAATGAGGTCATTTTTTCTCGAGTTACATCAATGTGTTGACAAAGTATGTCAAAAATTTCTCTTTTTCCATTTTATCCATCAGCACATCTAGAATTCATTTGAGTTGTTTCACTATAAAATTTTGTTTATCTATCATTTTTCACATTCCGATGTCGAATAACAATGATTTTGAAAAAAGTCTTTGCAAAATTTGAATTCTTCTTTCAATAACAATGGTGAGAGCGTTGATCTGATTCACACCCACATTCATCCTTAGTTTTTTAACATTGTATATTTCGAAAATAGAAGTAATTGTTTTAATTGAAAATTTTAGGATGAAAAGATCTACTTCTAAACAAAATTTTTGATCAAAAATCCTTTATTAAATTTTTTCTACAAAGATCCTATCCGATTATGAAAATCCAGCGAAAATAACATTTTAAGAAATTATATATCTTCTGCAAGCAAAGAGAAATTCAATTTTCTCAAGTTGATTTAATTGTAGGCAACGTCTAATATTCATATAAGAAGAATCTTATGAGAGTTTCATAATAACCAAAATTTGATTTAATCTTAATAAGAAGAAAACGAAATGAACAAAATACAAATTAAAAATATAAGATGAATACAACGATTATCTGACGAAAAAGAAAAATTATCTTAAATATTTACATAATCATTTTAGATCTGTTTTGAAAAAATAATTATCAATACCATTTGTTCGTTGTGGTGTTGTATTAAATTTTCTTTTTTGTCGTTTAGCTGGTGGTGTTACTTTTGATTGAGTTAAATTAATACTAAGAAAATAAATAAGAAGCATCATATTGATTAAAAAAAAAAGAAGAAAATATCTTAAATGATACCGTTTATTATAATTTGTTTGAGGTGATGTTTGTTGATCTTGTTCTTTAATTGTTGTTCGAATCATTTCACCATTTAAACATAAATCAATATGTTTATTTATTTTATCATTATCACCTAGAAGCATTTTTTGACATACAGGACATGTTGTTGTACTTGTATTAGAATTTTCATCATCAATATGAATTAATTTAGAATTACAATCTTCATTATATTGATTTTCAATTGATAGAAATTCTTCATTCAAATTTTCTTCTTCTCCCTCATCATCATCAGCATCATCATCAATATCTTCAATCATATCATGTGTATTTTCATTGATTGTTGTTGTTGTAGATTTTTTTGAAAAAAATTGAAGAATTGGTAAATCAGAACTTTTCATTTTCAAATCAGATACTCGTACACCTAAAAATCAACGAATAAATATAAATTTATATATAGACGAACAATGAATTGAATCGTATCATGATAAACAATCTTTAATACCTGTATTATTATTACATAGAACTTACCAGAAGTTTTCATATATAAAATCTCTGAGAATACCTTTCTATCTAAGATTCTTGATTAAACTCGAGTTTTCAATGTGATCTACTGCATTATAATTAAACTTCGATTCTATACACATCATAAATCAGATGTAGAAGTTTTAGAAAGTCATTTGATGATCATATTAGTCAATTTATATGAAAAGAAATAGTGATTATATATCAGCTTGTTCGACTAATGGTTAAAGTTGCACATTGAAATTTTCGAATGTGAAATGATCGATCAAATTTATGTAAAGTTTTTAGGCAGGTTTTGCTGCATTCTGTATCGACCTATGTAATTTGTGTTTAATAAGTACAAACTTAGGTCTAGAGATGTTAACCAATAAGTTGAGATTCCATCACAATCGTACTTTACTTTTTTACTATGATTTTCTTGTTTGTCCAAACTTGAAAATTTTCTCAACATAAAAAAACAAACTTACTTATACCGTAATTTCATTTAGTAGAAATTTCTATGTAAAACAAATGGTAATAGAAAATCTGCTATCATTGAACTTAATATTTACACTTTTCTAAAAGTTTTATTATCATGTGCGTTCTAGAAGAAATCTCATATGATGACTTACCCATAAGACGTAAAGCTGGTAATTCAAGATCTTGATCAAGTTCATGCTTAAGTAATGTAATAACTTTATCAGTAATTATATTTAATGAATCTGTATAAGATGAAAGTGTTTTTGAGCGTGTTAAAATTTCAAAATTAACTGTTTTAATTTTAAGTGTTACACGTTTACATAAAATACGATCAGATATAAGTTCATCAACTGTTTTCTTTGCTAAATCACGACAAAGTGATATTAATTGTAATGAATCACTTGTACCATTAAATGTTCTAATGATAAAAAACAAGAAACAAAAAAAAATTGATCAACTATCTTTTTTTTTTTTGTTTTTTTACTTACGTTTCATGTCCAATACTTTTTTGTAAATCATCATGTTCAATAGTTGTTGAACCACAACCGTTACAAACACGCATAAGAAAATCAAATGTTGATGGATATTCAATTAATTTAAGAATTCCACGTTTAAGATAAATATCATTAACTGTTTGAATTTGAAGTGATTCTAAATGAAGTGCAGTCACTTTTCCAATACCTTTTATCTATAATAAAATAAATATAAATTTTATTAATAATCATGTTTATATAACTTTTTCTTCTTTTACTTTTCGTATTGGTAAATTTCGAATAAAATTTAAAATAACATTTACATTCGATTCTAATTGATATTGTCCATTTGGTTTATTGATATCTATTATTTTTATAGAATAGAAAATAAGATATTATTTGTAGAAATTGATTATTTTACCTGAACATAATTTAGCCAAACGCATATTACATGCCATACCAGCACTAGCTGTTATTCGTGTTGCTAAATAGATACGATGTCGAATTTCTTGAACAGTTTCTTCAGCTGTAATACCAAATGTTATTGTTTCAGTTGAATTTTCCTAAAGATTTCCAATTAAATCTTCAATATAATATTTCGAAGTTCACTTAATTAGAATTCTTTATATAACATGTCATAACAAAATCACTAGTTTTTTTTTCTTCTTATAATTTAGTATATTTCATTCAAAAATAAAATATATGACAAATTATAAGAAAAATCTTATTTTATATATGCATTCTTTGCTTTTAAAAGGGATCAAATTCTATACGACCAATTTCCGGTCTACATTGTAAGTTGACAGAAAATAGACAAAATGTTTATCTAAAAATGATCTTGCGTCTTCAATTTTATTTAAATCTGATGCTAGATTATTACATAAAAATTATATTGAAGTTGTTCTTTACCATGGTAAACAACTTCCGAACAGCGATTGTATCCATGCAACATTTGTATCAGAAATCATTAGCATAATTTGAAGAGAATTTCATGCATTTTATAAACAATTACAGATGACTACGACCCAGTATTCTGAACTACGAAATGAAATTTGCTATATAGTAAAAAATGAGCATGATCACAGCATCGAAAATTGGCCGTATGAAATTCGATCATTTTTGAAAATAAAGAGTGTATACATAAAACAAAATTTCTATTATAACTTGTCGAGCTTTTCATACTTCATCTTATAATTGGAAAGGTTTTAGACAAGACAGTGTAAGTATTGCAATGCGGAAGTTATGAAAACAACAAGATTTACTTCTTTCGGAAATGTTCTTTGTTCTTCCGATAACGTCGATCGTTTTTGTAAATGATTTGTTAGATCAGCAAAGGCTTCATCAAGACCACATGAACCATAATTTTCATCATATTCACTAATAATTTTCCTATAATAAAAATATAATATATTCTCAATAAAAATAATAGTTCGTTCTCACATGACTTTTGAACTATCTACTCGATATTTATTAAAATCACAAGGTACAATAACTAGATTCGGACAAAGATGTCGTGCAATAAAACCAGGCATTGCTGCACGTACACCAAATTGACGAGCTAAATAATTTGATGTTGACTAAAAAAAAAACCAACAGAATTCGATATCTGCTCAAAACAAAATAAACTAATAAAAATAATTACCAACATGCCTTCACCACCAACTGCCATTGGTACATGTTGAAGTGCTGGATTTTCTCGCATCTGTAAGATAAAAATTTCAATCTTATTTTCTTTTTTTTTTTTAATCATTTTTTTACTATTTACTTCAACTGATGCATAAAAAGCATCCATATCAATATGACAAAATATTCGAGATAAATCTCGAGTTTTATCTAGTTGATTTAAATATCGATCAGCCTTGAAATAAAATATAAAAACAAACATTGAAAGACAAAAAAAAAATAAGAATTTATCTTTACTGATTTTTCAGCTTGTTCAATTTGAAAAGTTGAAAATGATTTTATTTTAGATAATTTAACTTCAATTCTTCGACGATTTTCCTAGAAATAATTTTGAAATAAAATCATCTTCTTTTTCAATATATTACTTCTTCACGTCGTTGTTGTTGTTTAAAAAATTTTGAATCTAATGAATATAGATTAGATCTATGTACAAATATTCTCTATCATACTTTTAGATGCTTCTTGAATTAATTTATTAATTTTTTCTTTATCCAAATCTTCCATACCAGCCTTCGTATCATCAACATTAAGAAATGTAGTTCGACTCATATTTTCTGAAAAACTAAAAAAATATCTGTTTAGAAGCCTTTCTTTTTTATTCTATAATTTAAATGGAATCGAAAAAAAATAAGTTAACTGAAAATTTATCACAAAAAAAAATAAAATAAAATATATATATTATGAATGATTTATATCTTGATTTGTTTTTTGTTGATATTCAAACATTGCATCTAAAACTGCCCAAAGACAAGAACCTTGTGGATAATCATTATCGACTAAATTAACAAGAAAATAAGTATTTGAAATCTGCTCGATAATTGAATATGAACTTGAGCCTGGTTCGTATAATTTACCCCAACGTTCCATCCATAAACTAAAAGCTTCATCCTTAATATAAAAGAACAATAAGAATAATTGAGAGAAAAAAAAACGTCTTAGCTTATTACCTTCCAGATCATGAAGCTAACTGTATCAACAACTGTTGGTTGAATAATTTCTCTACCAGCAAAAACACCCCATGTCAATGCAATTGGTTGTTCATGATCTGTATTTGTTTCATTAACATCACCCTATAAATAATTTTTCTTTAAATAAATTTTGGTACGTACAAAAACAAAACTCATACAGATTTATTGACAAAATGATAATTAACACCAGGAAAATTTTTTAAAACAGCACGTAAAGCCGGAATATTATTTGCACTTGTAAAAAATTCCAAATAAGCCTTTAAAAAAAATCAAGAACAAATCATAAATTCATTAGAAATATTTTGTTTTATAATTAAATTTTACTTTTTGATAAATATAACCATTTCTTTCACCCCAACCAAATATTGAATCTGTACTTGGTTTTCCATTAACTGCTGGTTGAGAATTAATTGTTAATATTCCTTTTCGATTATATTCAATTAATTCATTATGTATTAAATGTGTTTCAAGTGATATTTCTTCATCTTTCCATGGAAAATGACGAACAATTTTATCTGAACCATTTTTTTCTCCACGTATATAACAAGCAAACATTTTCCATACATCTTGTTCACATGTTAATTCATGTCCCCATTCATCAAGTAATTCATCACGTGTTGCATCAATTTTCATATAAAATAAATGATAATCAGTTAAAACACCAAATGATGGTGCCGATGATATACCCCAACGTCCATTTGGAAATTCATTCCAATTTGATGTACGATGAATATAAGATTTTGGTCGTGTACTCCAAAATATTGGACGAACATCTTCTTTTGAACGTACATAATTTTTTGAAGTTTTTTTCCATGGTAAAGCACGTAATGGAGGATCATCAAAACCAAAACCAAGTTGTTTTAAAATTTCAGTTGTTGCATATTCACGATTTAATGTATAAAAATGAAGTCCATGAACTTTATCAGAATTTAATAAGGCTTTACAAAGATCAACACATGTTTGAACGCCAAAATTACGTATAGCTTCATCATTATCTTTGATAGATTCCATATAAGCTGTAATTTCATCAGGTACATCTAATTTAGTTAAACAAACAATATTCTTAAAACTTGCATAAGCCTAAAATTTCAAAGAATTTATTATTTTTGTGTTTCTTCGATAAAATTTCTTTTACTTGAATTGGAAATATTCCAGGAATAATTGGACACGTAATTCCAACAGCTCGACAATCCGATACAAATTTAAGAAATGTTTCTGCTTGAAAAAAAAGTTGTGTTATAATAAAATCAGCTCCACAATCAACTTTTTCTTTTAAATAACCTAAATCTTCTTCATAGGATTTCGAATCAGGATGTCCTTTTGGATAACCTTCAATCAAAACAACGAAAAAAAAAAATCAATTACACTTTTTTTTATTAATAATTATCTAACTATACCTGCAACACAAATAACAAAATAATCACCAAAATGTTCTCGAACAAATTTAACTAAATCAGATGCATATCGAAAATCAGTTTTTTCTGGATTCCATTTTTCTCCTACTGGTGGATCTAAAACAAATTATTTAATTTTTTTTACATTAAAAAAAAAATCATTTTTTTTTTCTAAATTTAACATTTACCTCCACGTAATGCAAGTAAATTTCTAATACCAAAATCTTTTGCTTTCGAAAGATATTCAATCATTGTTGCTTTTTTAGCACCATAACATGTTATATGTAACATTGTATCAATATTACAATAATTTAACATGGTATTAGCAATCATCATTGTACTTGTTTCTTTTGTACCAGCTGGATCACCAGCTGTATGCCATGTTATATCACAAAATAATGGTTCACCAACAGCCATACGTTCCAAACTATTTTAAAATAAAGAATAAATTTAAATAAAAACAAAAAGAAAAATTTACCATCCAATCAAATTTACAGCACCATTTGTTGTACGTGGTGGAAAAAATTCAAGTGAATACCAACGATCATTATTTGAAATACGTTTTTGAAGTTTTTCTTTTAAACTTATATATTTAACTGGATGAAGAGAACATCCTTTAACAGTTAAACATGTATGTTCACTTTCCGAACGTTTAAGTTCACTAAAATTATCCAATGAATGACATATTTTTGGAGCACCAATACCATTTTCATGTATATGGCAATGATTAGAAGCAGTATTTTTTTCGGTATGTGTTAGTGTCATGATGTGTTTTCAAATAACATTTATCAAATATGATCGTTCGAGTATATGTAGAAAAATATTAATTTGATCAGATGCAATTATTCGTTTTGTTTATCACACGTCGAATGCGTGATGTAATTGATGTTGATCTATAAAAAAAAAATACCGAGAAAAATATAAAACGAAAATATGTAAAGAAACAAAGTCCCAGAAAAAAATAGAACGTAACACAGCTGAAAGCTAAGGACATTTTTGGCCTTGCAAGTATTGATGACTAAATATATCACGCTTACAGTGGGGTGATCAAGGTTTCCGATACAGAAAAATAAAAAATATAATGTTCATAATTATACAGTTAGGTAAAACAACGTCGCGACTGGATAAAACAAATATCTATTCGACTATTAATAGGTACTTTCAATGGAGGTCGCTAAGATACATTAGCCGTATTTATGTATGTATTAAACAAGAAAATTTCGTAAAACGATGGACTTTACCTTTGAGAGAGAAACCGATTGTAACATTGACGCTGAAAAGCAAATATTTTTCATCTTTTTGAAATCAAGAAAAGTACCCACAATGTGCACTTTAATCTTATCTAGGGTTAACACTCCTATCAAGTAATATCAGCTTTCACTGAAATAATCACAAGAACGTATAAACACGTATCAGGAATAATAAAAAAGAAATACGCCCACTTTTTTTCATTAAGTTTCTTCTTATGCTATGCATTAAAAAATCCTTATCAAATATGTAAAATTCTTTTTTAGATAAGGGTTTTCATTAATATCAAATTGAACAATCAATCTTGTTATATATTCTTGAAACTAATGAATTATATTAGACAAATAAGTTTATGATTAGTCAATCAATTTGCTAAATTATCATCAATTACCAAAAATCTTTGAATTACGACTATTCATGATCATCCAATTCATATCTTCATTTTTCTGTGCATATTATGTTTTTATTATATATTTTTTTAAGACTGATAATAACAGATGTTTCGAAAATTTTGAGGAAGAATATTTCTTCATTTTTCTACCAATTAATAAGTGCCTGCAAATAATTTAAAATCTCAAATTAATATCAGAATTTTGTGCTCTTTCTGAATCCAGATTCATAGTTTTCGTGTGACTCATAGGTGAGGCGTTATGTACGAATCTCTGAATGGCGTGACAATCAAGTATGAATGGATTCCAGTGTACAAAACAATGCCTAAATTAGAAGTAAAATTTATTCGAAATATACCACAAAAAAAGAACAAATATTTCTCTACAAAATATTCGTTTGCTTTAAGATCAACAATGAAAGTTTTGGCAAGTGGCACATTAACATTTTCATAGATTTTCGATTCCCAGACTTAAATAATCAACTCAGTCATCTCTACAAAATCACTGCAAGACTTTTTGGTTCTTAGCCTACTTGGTGAAATACCGTTTCGCTATTAATACTATGCGAAAGATTTTTAATAGAACGTATGCAATAAGGGACATAATTGCTGAAAAGAGCGTCTATTATCCATCTGCTGATTCAAATAATTTTCAAACAATAATGCAATCAAATGAAAAGAAGTTGGATTACCGAGAGAATCTCTACGGTTGCGCCATTGTGATTTCAACGATTTTTTGCCTATAGACACAACAGTGTTCCAATAAAAGTCCTAAAAGGATTTGAGTTCCTATTGATATTTGACTAAGCTATAGAATTCTTTTCTAGAGACCTTAGGTTCTCGAAAAACTCGTATTTCCGAGTTTTGGTCTGAAACTTTGCACATATAGAGGATTTAACCAGATCAACTTCCATAAAAAAAACTTAGAAGTTTTGAAAAAAGTCTCTTCGAGATAGAAG